CAATAGCTGAAAGGCCCAGTACCACCAAATGAGACTGGGTAAAAGGATGGGAAACTTGTAGCTTTCCTGATGTTGTTGGACTACATATCCCATCAGCTCTCACCATTAGTTACGCAGCCCAGGCCTGATAAGAACTATGCTCCAGCAATGTCTAATGGGCCCACTTTCTTCATCCCTGGTGGAGAGCCATTCAAAACATACAGTCCTGTCCTAGATTGGTAAATATACTGTCTGGGGGATTCTAGGAGCTGTAGTCCAAAAAGGGTATCTTTCCAGACACTATATGTGCAGTACATCCCCCGTATCAACATGGGATACATTCCCAGACTTACCATGGAAATGTGAAACCACAGATAATAGTGAACCCTAATGAAATGAATTACTTCTGGTAGAACATGACCATATAGTCTCACTGGAGGACTTGGCAATTCCTAGAAAGAATACCTCTCTAGGCATTTCTAGGTCCTTCAGTATGACTCTATGTTCAACCTCTGCCAGAAGCATACTGTGCTAGAGGACCTAGAAAATGCCTAGAGAGAATAATTTTTTTCCAGACATGGGTAAGTGAAACCACAGACACTGGTCCCATAGATATGGGGAAGGGGGTTTGTTCTGTAATTATACAAATTAATGTCTCATAAAAATCTGATATGACAAATAGGCATGGACAGAAGGCAAGGCAACTGAATACATGGTGAACTTTCACAACAACAGAAGCACTGTAGAGGCCATTTTGGTATGGTCGACCCTTCAGCTTCTCACAGGGCTCTCCTTAACTTGTTTACCTGGTTGTCCTCTTCTGACCCCAAATGGCATCAGCTCTCTAGGATCTCAGGCAGAACTCATTCCCAGCCCTGCTACCTGACATCACATTAACTAGAAATGCCAGAGCTTGCACAACCAAGACCTTCTGCATACAAAGCATGTGCTGTGCCACTGAACTGGAGTCCTTTCTCTTGGAAGATCCACCAGGCTGCTAAGATCTAATGTGGTCTGTCGGCAAGACTGTGTTGGACTTGGACTGGAGAGTTTGTGGTTTTAAATCCCTTCTCACTCATGAAGCTCTCAGGGTGGTCTTAGGCAAGTCATGTTCTCACAGCCTAATATAGACTCCAAGGTTGTGGTGGTGCTTGTTGTTGCTGTTGTTGTTACTGTTGCTGTTACAAGGGGACATCCCTGTTTGCTTCACTGAAGTTATAAGAAGAAGGGTATGGAAATATATTATGTCAATAGTGCCACATTTGTTTAGACTCCATTTCCAATGTACTTTTTCATTGGCACTAGGACTGTAACTCTTTCCCTCTACTTTTAGCTGTACTCTGACAAGTTCAATTTGACCACAGTTTACACTGTGGTTATCATTACTCAATACCAATGACATTTAGGTTTCCAAAGTTCTTCTTTAGAGTGGTAACATTGGGCTTTCAGTGACCTACAGAAAGAGCTTTAGGAAACACCAGCTGGTTGTATATGAATGGACGTACTAAGAATTCTCACCACCAAACACAGAAAAAATTTCAGGAGACACTTACTGGTGACCAAAGCCAGGAATAACAATTACCCACAATCCATTAGGCTAACATGGAAACTCATCAAAGAAACTAGCCCTAGAGGATCTCATTTATTTAAATGTAGGGTTTCTGTGTTGTACACAGGCTTACTGCTTTCTAGCCAGAAAATTCTGGTTCTAAGCACATTTATCAAGAAGCAAGCCCCAGTTCTTCCTATGAAAGGCATTTGCAAGTTAGTGAATGTACTTAGTTAGGGTCAGGTTATCCTATGTTTAAATATCTGAAGGGATGTCATGTAGAAGATGGAGCCAATTTGTCATGATCCCAATAACCCCCAAGGTTGCTTATGACTATGGAGTTTATCACACGAGCAGAAGAAACGGGATATTAGGGCTATGCTCCAGCAATATCCCATAAATATTGTGCAATAGCATGATGCTTTTCACATGATGTCATCATTATTGTGCGATTATCCCATGAATAAAAAATGGTATGATTTTGCTGCTTTATTCATGGATAATCGTGCAATAATGATGATGTCCCATGATGTTGTGTGAAAAGCACCATGCTGTTGTGTGCTAATAATGAGATATTGATGGGAATATAGTGCTAATATCCCGGGGGGGGGGGGTTGCCCATGTGATAAACTCCCGAGTAGAGAATTGCTATCTGTTGCAGTTTCTTTGTCATCTTCATGGCCCTCTGTTTATATACTCTGAACAAGGAGGGATAACTCAAGCCTTACTTGTTTTTTTATTTATATATTTATATGTTTTAAAAATAATTATTGTATATAAACTTGTTTATAATATTGCATGGGGGAGCTAATACTCCAGATGACAGGATCAGAATGACCAAGACAGATTGGATTTCTGGGCCAAAACTAACAAAATGAATTTCAACAGGGATAATTGTAAGATACTGCAGTTACACAAGAAAAATGAAATGCATTAATAAAAGATGGGTGACACCTTGCTTGAAAGCAGTACATGTGAAAAGGATCTAGGGGTCTTTGTAGACAGAACAGGAATCAGTGGATTCAAATTACAAGAAAAGAGACTGCATCTAAACATTAGGAAGAACTGTAAGACCTGTTCAACAATGCAATATACTGCCTCAGAGGTTGATGGGCTCTCCATCTTTGAAGGTCTTTAAATAGAGGTTGGATGGGCATCTTTCAGGAGTGAATTAGTTGTTTATTCCTGCATGGCAGGGGGTTGGACTTACCCTTATGGTTCCTTCCAGCTCTATAATCTTATGATTTTATTATTCTGTTCTAACCATAGACATTCATTCTTTTGTCTCTAGAATCACCCATTCCAAAAGGAAACAAAAGGTATCACAATACAAATATCCCACTCTGGCTCTTAGAAAAGCTGGCACTTCATCAGATTCTGATCAAGCTGGTACAGGATGGAGTCCCTGGGGGAAAATGTCCAACGTGGTGAAAAGCAGCAGCCAAGATGAGTCAGCATTTGGCCACTGCTGAGTCATGCAGACTTATGTTGAGTCACAGAAAGTGACAACATGAGGGCAGTCATCTGGTGCCAGAAAGCACACCAAGCTGCTGTAAAACTGCTGTAAAACTGCAGTGTCACTCAGGTGAGTGACAGGTGGCCAGGAAGCCTTTGTCTTTGCTCAACCCACTGTTGAAGGATTGGAGTTTGTGAATATGACCTAATTCAGCTATTTCTGTTTCCAATCTTCCTTTGTAGTGTTTTTGTTCAAGAACTGCTGTCTTGAAGTCAGAGATTGAATGCCCAGGAAGACTGCAACAGGCTTTTGTGTATTCTCATTCCTAATATCTGATTTATGTCCGTTTATCCTGTATGGGAGTTCCTGCATGGCAGGGGGTTGGACTGGATGGCCCTTGTGGTCTCTTCCAAGTCTATGATTCTATGATACTCTGGCACATAGATTGGCCTGTTTACCCAATGCAGAGTGCTGAAAGCCATTGTTAACAGAGGATGGCATATATCACATTAGAAGATGAGCAAAGGAAAGTGCCTCTAATATTGAATGATTAGGTCCTGTAATGACATTTCCTGGGTAGATGTGTAGGCAGAGTTGGCATCTAGGTTTGTGGCAACATCTTGTACCTGTCTTCCCATTTGTGTTGTGAATCCTTCTGTAAATAAGTAACTGAGATTGGGAGGCTGCCTGTAGGCGAGTAAAGGCTTGCCACCAAGAGCCTTTGAGAAAGCAGCATTTTTGTCCAGATAGGTTGTAAGTGAGTGATGATAATGTCTGAGTGGTCTCAATAAGAAGCTGTATGTGACCACTAGTGAAGTCCTGTAATTTCCTGTCTTCAGTATGTACTGAAATAGATTGGTTCTGGGTACAAATCTAGCCTTGTTGATTTGTTTCTTTATTTCATGTGATGGATATTATAGCTTGAGGAATGCTTGTTGTAATTGCATGTCTTATGAGTGCCCTGTCTTATGAGTCTGAACAGATGTTATTGTATCAGAGGGCTTGGCTGTAAACTATGGATTTGGTCGTATCTTCATGGTGGAAACAGGAGGCATGTAAGTATGTGTAGTGGTCAGTAGGTTCGCAATATAGGATGGTGCTCAGATGTCCATCATGCAGCTGTATGAAGGTGTCCAGAAAGTTGACTTGTTTTGTAGATAGTTCCAGGCTGAGACTGATGGTGGAGTGGAAGCTGTTGAAATTCTGGTGGGATGTCTTGAGTGACTCCTCTCCATAAGTCCAAATTATGAAAAGATATCTATGTGCATCAGGTAGAGGAGGGGTTTCTGGGTGCAGTTGTTAAGGAAACTCCTTATGTCAACCATGAAAATGTTAGTGTATCACAAGAAGTGACATAACATTTCTTCAGGTTGTCATTTTTGGCAAATCTTGGTTGTTGCTAGAAATCTGGGGGCTGAAGGAAAATTTCACTTTGGGAGAATAGAATTCTTATTTGATAGGGCAATGCCCTCATTTGTGCCTCCATCCCGCTGCCCCCATAGCCTTAGGGGCCAGTGAATCTCTCCCAACTATGTCCCTTTAGGTGGTGCAGTACTCGCCCATACCAAAATCTGGGGCAGAGGAACTGCTTTAATCTATTGGAAATTCTCCTCCCAAGACTCCCTATCTGCTGAAGAACCAATCTTGTGTCTTGTGTTAGGAGTAGGGATTGAACAGAAATTCACATTAATTGAAACATTCTACATATATATGCATTTCATGATTTGCAAGATTGTTAGCCAAAATCTTCAGGTATCTTTCAATTTCCTGTTATCACAACAGTAACTACAATATGCAAATCCTTTTCTCCTCCCCTCCTTTCCTTTTTAATTTATATGCAAATAAATGTTGCATTGTTGTTGCTATTTGGCTTCAAGTTATTTTGGACTTGTGAGGACCCTAAATAGAACCTATCACAGAGTTTTCTTGGGAAGATTTGCTAGGGAGAGGGTCACCTTTGCCTTCCTCTGAGATTGAGAATGTGTGACTTGCCCAAGGTCACCCATTGGGTTTCTGTGGCTGAGGAGGGATTTGAACCCTGATCTTCAGGGTCATAGTCCAATATTCAAATCACTACACCACACTGGCTCTCTGAAATTAAATGAGTACAACTCAAATACACATCTTTGGAAGATATACACAAAAATGCTACAGCTGATGATAAAAATATGAACAAAGATGAATATGCTAAGAAAAATGTATCAAAATTATGGGTACATTAGAAAAAGAGGGCACAAACATACACATTATGTTCTATGTGGAGAAAAAATACGGTCTAGGATCCTAATGTGAAACAAGAACTGGAGGAAAATGTAACTGGGACTCAGATAAATGCAAACAAGCAAACCCCCTAAGACTGATACATTTTCACATTGTCAGGAATGCAAGAAAAATTGAGAATTCTGGTGGTGCATCACCCTTACCAGTACAAACCAGTCTGACAGATGTTAGGAAGGAACTAATTAGGGGGATTTATAATTAGCTCAATTTATGCCAGAGTGGGGTCCTAACAAAGCCCCACGGGACCAGGGACCATTATGTATACAAGAGGACTAAGAAATCCTGCAATGGATGATGCTGAGGCAGGCTTCTCCAATTAAAGTCTAAATATTTATTAACAGGGGTAAACTGCACACACACAAATAAGACACACACACACAGCACACTTAGAAATAAAGGGGTGAAAGTGGAAATAGCTTGAGAGGGGTTACTCACTTCCAAAGGCTTCTCCAGAATCCACTGTGGATGTTGATGATAATGATGATGATGCACGGCCACCAAAATGAGGGGAGAAGGATGGCCGAGGTTGCTATGATTAGAGTACAGACTGACATGGAGTCAGCATGGACTCTCAAGATAGCACACAGAGCCTATGAATCTCAGGGTTTAAGTAGGAAATTTCTGCCTTCTGGCTATTGACTAAACAGCTTGGCTGAAGCCAGGATAAAGGTGTTAATAGTCTATTTAGTTTTGTTAAACCTAGGTGTGAGACCAGTCTAAATAATGTATTTGGTTTTGAGACTATCAAGGAAGGGAGGCTAGAAAAAAGGGTGCAGTCAAATCGGATCACTGCCCCATTAAGCGTGAGACTCAAGACAAATAGGCACTATTATGTATCTTTTCCAGTATAATGGTTTTTCCCTTTTGGTAATTCCCAAACCTGTCTGGTAGGGAATTTTCCAGCTGTTCTGGGAAGATCTCTCAGTGCCTACATCACCTGCCATCTAGGGGATTATGGCCAACATCCCTCAGAGGTCAGTCTGAGGTCATAGAGGGAACTCCACATGTGTCCAAAATTTTATGAAAAATCACATATGCTAACACAGAGTTGATACAGGGCTGCATTCTACTCTTCATCCTGATGTATGTAGACTCATTGAATGAATAGGATTTACTTACCAGTCAACAGTTTGTGCAATGAGCTGGTACTAAGCCATGGATGACAATTACATGGCCCTCCAGAAGTTAGTGAAATGCAATTCCCATAAACCCTTATGGGTATAACTAGTGGTACAAAGGAGATGAGGGAATGAATGATATTCGGAATGAGGAGCCATATGAAGATGAACCACAAATTCTAAGGAGTCATGTGGAATCTACAATAAGGGAAATGGGGGGAAATAAATCACTGGGAACAGATGATATCCCAATTGAACTGCTACATTGCCTACAGACAGATATAACTTTAGAACTAACTGAAATATGCCAACAAATAAGGAAAACAAACTGAAATGCTCAATATACATACCAATTCACAAGAAAGGAGATACAAAAGACTGCAGCAACTATAGGACAATAGCACTAACCTCATATGCAAGCAAAATAATGCTCAAAATTCTGCAGCATAGACTCCAGCCATACACAGAGAGAAAAATTACAGAGGTGCAAGCAGTACTCAGAAAAGGAAGGGGTACTAGGAATCACGTTGCAAACATACAATGGCTAATGGAACACACCAAAGAATTAAAAAAAAATAATCAGCATGTGTTTCATAGTCTACAGCAAAGCATTTGATTGTACAGATCATGAAAAGCTATGGAATGC